GCCTTGTTGGAGGGCCTAAGAAAAGAAAATTTTCTAGGCAAAAGTACTAAGTTCAAGGATGAGGAGAATTAGTATTGTCCTAGGTGTATTTATTAAACAAGGCTATATCTCATGTTTAACATGGTTACTATTAAATGTGAAAATTCTACTTATTTATTTGAATTTTCTTATTCTTTGTGGCTTGGTAGTTTATGACATATAAATATAGAGTATAATATTTTATGTCAAAATATAGCCTAAAAAAAGAAATGTGTAACATGCATTCAAAGGTGATAATAGAAATTTTATTACTTTCATATGTATCTGTGTTACTCTCAAACGGATTTAGGTACTACAAATTTTGCTAATTGTATTTGTTCTAAATTCAGTCAAGAGTCTGTTGCGATCATAAGATGTTAATTGTTGAAGTCAAAACTTTGGCTACTACATGTATAAAAAGGCGAAGTGGTTTAGGGTTTGTGGCCCTAGCCTATGCCTCTAGCCTCCTTAGTTTGCAGTGTGTAGCTACTATATCTAGAATTTTGAATAAGGTGTAATGATAAATCTAGACAAGTTAAGTCTAAGATATGAGTATTTTAGCAAACGTTAAAAGAATGACATTGTGTTTGTTGTATATTCTCATATACAACAATAAAAGATATCCGTCGACTAAGTTCTTGTTTAGGGACTCGGTGAATCTAACATCATTGGGTAAGGAGGCTAAAACATTAATATAAAATCACTTGCAATGGGAATCCTATCTTGATTCTAGCACTACCACTAGATGAAAAGGTTTAAGGGGGTAACAAGAAGTTGCCAAGTGATTGTGAGTACTAGGTATTATTGTATACATTCTCACCCCACTAGTGCACAAGAGGTTGAGTATATATTGAAATTATATACTCTTAGTGAAGTGTAAATTCTTTCTTAGTGCTTGGTCCTACGAAGTTTGAAAGTTTTTTCACCTATATGATCATAGGAGTGGTGCAACTTCTAACAAAGGTTGGGTTTGCTTTTGTATATAATCATGAATCTAGGATGGAGCACATGATCAATAATAGTGCTAAAGTTCTTTGTGAATTTAGCTCAATCCACTTTCAAATTTTACATTTATAAAATTCTAAATACCTCATATATAATTTTTTTGCAAGTATATGGGTCGAGATTGACAGTAAAATATTAAGGATCGAACTTATAAGAAAGAATAGATAACTACCGGTGCTACTAAAGCTCCTCCATTATTTAGACAATCAATAAACTGAATAAAATAAAACTAAACTAAAATGTGCAAGAAAATAGCAAATAAAAACTCCTTAGGTCATGATACCCCTAACTATTCATGCAAATGCAATTTTTGGATCATTGAGCTCTACTATCTTAGGCTCCATTTAAATTCACCTGTTTTTCAAAAAATAGTTTTTCAAATACAATGTTACAGTAATACACAAATAAAAATAACTCCAAAACACCTCATCCATACAATATATCAAAAACAACTCATAAATATACAAAAAAAACTTTAAAAAATAAATTTTACAACATCTTTCATCTATTATCACTATCCACCACCAATCCCACCCACCACTGCGACCACCCTCTCCTTCTTCGTTTCTCCTCCCCTCTCTTATTTCTCCTTCTCTTTCCCTCTTTCTCCTCCCTCTCCTTCCTCCGCCTCTATTCCCATTCCCTCTCTTTTCCTCACTATCCCCCGTCCCTCCCTTCCCTCCTTTGATCTAGTTTCAACTAGATCACGATAGAGAAGAAGGGAGGGGAGGGGCTAGATTGGGGGAGGGGGGAAAGGAAAGGACGAGGAGTGGTGAGGAAGAGAAAGGGAGAGGATAAAGGAGGAGGGAGGGGGTAGGTGAGGTGGTGATGATTCCGAGTGGTAGTGTTAATTTGTAAAAGGCATTCTAAATAAAATTTTTAATTTTAAAAAGTACTCCAAAATATATTTCTAAAATCCTTCAAAAACATCACAAAAAATATCTACAATAAAAGTTTTTCATATACACTATTACAGTAAAATATTTCAAAAATACTTTTGAAAATAGCTAATCCAAACGGAGCCTTAGTTAGTTATGTCGTAATTTCCTTATGTATATAAAACTTACTCTCGTAGTGAATCAACTATACATATAACTAATTCAGACATACTTTCATGGTTATAAAATTAGTTATAAATTCATTACCTTTACGAAATTAGATGGAACAAGCCAGACAGGTACACTTCAATTCTCGTGAGTGTACTTCCAAAATTTAGCACTTCTTTGAACTAGTGTTAGATTCTAATTATCATTACAAATTTAATACCTTAAGATTATTACAATTAATGATCAGTTAATCATGATTATAAAAGAAAAAGTACTAAATAACATACTCAAAATAATAGCATCAAATAGTCAAATAATCAGCACAAACAATCATAGAAAGTTCAATCAAAATTCAAGGCATAAACTTTAAAAATGCATAATGAAGATAATATCCAAACTTGTATAATAACTAAGCATGAAATCCAATAAAAGAAAGAAAGTGGTATGAGAGGTATCATCCTTGTCACATGAGATCAAACTCTCCATCTTTACCCCTCAATTTTCATCCAAGTTTAGCTATATACAAGAAATGGATGAAACTCTAAACTATCATACACTAACCTAAACTAAAGAACTAAGAAACTAGCTAAAATCTACATTTTTGTGATGTTTTCTTGCACTTCTCCAAACTCTCGTAAAATGAAAAATACAAGTTCTATTCATAGAGAAATATTCAAATCCTTCATTTGCATCTTCAATGTGAACATAACTCCAAATAAATCAACAATTTCGGCTCCAAGCTAAATCACATCATTATAGGAAAAAAAAGGTCAAGAATTACTGCTAGAATCTCATGTTTTAGCTGTAAATAAGTTGCCAAGCATCCCTCAAAAGATGTAAAATAATGGAGGTGAAAATAAGTTAAGCAAGTGGAAGCTGCAAAATTTGACCAGAATCCCTCTAGTAATCCCTCCAAAATTGGCCAATTCTTTGGCTGGATTCCTCCAATGTGTTTTCTTCAATTTTTGTTTCTTATTCCAACTTAATACCTTGAATCCCTTCGACAATCCCTCCAAAAACTAACCGAATTCTTTGGAGGGATCCGAGTCAACTTTCTTTTTTGATATTTTTCTTCGTTTTCTTTTTCTTGTAACTCGAATCATTTTTGAAACTCGTCATCCTTACTAACTTTAGGACTCAATCAACATAATGCAAGCTTATTTCTTGTCCAAAATGAAGTCCAATTTCCAATTCCTACAAAAACAACCAAAAATATACAAGTAAAAGGGACAAAATTCTCCTTTTAAGTACAAAGCAGCATTTAGAACTAATTCTAGCAAAAAAATTAACAATTTTTTCTTATAATATTGAAAAAGTGACTACCCAGATGACCTTTTTTTCTTGGCATACAAATGTCCTTCCAACTCACTTCATCACCATAACAAAATTTTTGTTCAAAAAGACCACAAAAGAGCTGCTAAAATATTCTCAATTTTCTTAATAACATCCTTAGGTAGAATAAAGGCACTAGACTAGTATAGATGAATACCAGAAAAACAGATTTGATTAACTCTGCCTTATATTTTATCAAATATTGGTTGACAATCTTTGTAGAGCAATCTTGAGGATATCAATGGTAGGCCTAGATACTTCATAGGTAATAGTCCTTTTGGCATCTTGACAATATCCCAACTGCAGTAGCTTTTTGCTTATCAATTCCTGAATAAAAAAGCTTGGCATTTCTATAGATTAGGCTGCAAACCTGAAAATGGTCAGTTTGGTCTATTATCTTTGAAGTTTTAATCAATTTAATCCCTTATCTATTATTCTAACCATTTTTCCCTTACCTTTACTATGAAAGGCCAATCTAGACCCTCTAATTAACAAAATTTAAAAACTTCTAACCGAGTTAGTCCCGAACACAGTATGTGCATCACCAAAAATGACTATTTTGCTCTATTATCACTATAGTCATATTGAATTTGGTTCCTCGTAGGTCGCCACATAACTGTTACTGCGTGTGTGTGCTTTTTTTCAAAAAAATCTACTTTTTTTTTTTAATTTCAAGGATAGACTTGTAGTACAAAGAACTGGCTCTATTAGGATTTTCTAATTTTCCATCGAAAGTCCTATATTGATTTTATTTTGTGAAAATGAGAGTTTACATTATCAAAAGGATAAAACAAACAACTTTGAAGATAATGGATTAAAATGGTTATTTTTAACAATGCACATTTATTGCACCTGACTAACTCCTCTATAAATTTTCAATTTTCTATTAGATGTCCTAAATTGATATTTTTCTTTTTTATAAAGATAAGGGACTAAAAGGATTGCATCAATTGATGAGAACTAAATTGACCAAGATCCCAAAGATAAGAGACCAAAATTAAACCTATCAACGGGTCGAGTTCGGGCCAAAATTGAAAATTTCGTATTCAAACCCATTTTTATGTAGTAGAACAAAACCCGACCCGTATATCCAATAGGTCTTGAGTTTAGAGTCTCGGAACCAGGTTCGACAGGTCTCGAGTCGGGCCCGAGACAACCCGAAAAGGGCCAACCAAAAATAAGGCCCAAAACTATCTACATATTAAGAAGTTTGCAAAAATGAATTACAATCATTTCAAAATTAAATCCAAAACCAACCACAAATCAATCTCCAAACTTAAACAAATTAAATTACAAAGCTAATCACAAATAACTTGCAATAATCAATCCAAAACTAATCGCAAATCAATCTAGGGTTTGTTATTTGTTAATTTGGTAAAAGAATGTGTTTAGAATTATTTATACTTTACAATTATTAATATATTGTTTTGATCCGGATCGGAATCCTATATTTCGTATCCAACCCGTTTTTTTGTTAGAGTAAATAGGTACGGATCCGAGTCTGGATATCGGAATTATTTCCCAAATTGAGTGCACCTTTTTACACAGATCCATCGTTACGGTAATTGTAAAGTGCTTGATGCGAGGTTTAAAGAGTTAATCAAACAATTACTAAAAGATTGCATAGAAGTTAAAACTGCTTATTATTAATCTGACAACATCCAGCTCAAAAAAAAAAAAAAAAACTAAAGACAATATCCATAATCCAAGCTCATTCTACTTGCCTATTTGCTTTACTGAGGAAGCTTATTAAGCTTGCAATAGGCATAATCTTTGAACTTCTTGGTCTTAAATTTTGGCGGATTTTCCTCATTCACAAGCTTTGGAATTGGCCCAATTTCTTGCTCTGGGGGTGGCTCCAGGAACACTGGCCATGACATTCTTGTCATCTCCTTGTTCACGGTTGTTCTGTGGAACACGCTCTTGTACTTTCCATTGCTTAAAATCTATCAAGAGATTAATTGGAAAAGTGAAATCAGCATTAAAAAAAGAAACATTAGACATGCAAGGAAATCAGATAATTGTATGTTGAAAGAAGAAATGCCAAATCCTCGTAATAGTTGTGAAACTCACATTGGAGAGCTCATGCACTTATGCGGAGATAGCACAAATCATGTATGGCCATGGATATTTGGATAGTTATCCGACGTATACTGTTCAAAAATCAGAAATCTTTTCCTCATTTTAATTGATTACCTTCTAAATTGAATTTACAGATAGCTTAAGAAGTCAATTAGTATAAGTTGATGGATTATAGTCAGAATATTTCTGTGTAGCATATGGAAATTTGTACATATCAATGTCTTGCAGGACAACCTCCTAGTGAAACAATTAGTTAATCAAGATCTACGAATAAATTGCAAAAAAAAAAAAAGATGAAGGAAATGTGTCCTATACAAAGTACTTAAATTTCTGTGAAATAAATTCCTATCATAAAGTGCCAGTTCCAATATCAATTTTAAAGTCAAACAACATAAGCAAATTATTCATTTGCAACAGGCAAATAATGCCAAAGAATTTAGAGACAAAAAAAAAAAAAAGCATAGAGCAGTCAAGAAAATGACTTACCTGAATTTGGTCACCAATGTGGACAATAAGGGCATTTGGGATGTACTTGACATCATACCAATAATCATCCTTAAACACTTGAAGCCCTGGGACCTCATTGGGGACAAGAATGGTGAGGCCTGACATATCTGTATGTGCCACTACACCAAGGGCCAAATCAGGGCGAGGGCATGGTGGATAGTAATTTATTTTCATCATGTAAATGAGGTCTTCCCCCCCCCATACCATCCTTCATCTCACTTGGTTCTAACCCAAGCCCCTTTGACAGGTACTCAAACATCTTGTCAGCCACTCCTCTAAGCCTCTTAGCATAATCTTCACTTGTCTCTCTGGCATCCAAATTCCAATGGAAGATATAACAATTAGTGGGTAATTAGTACAAAATGATGAAGGCATACGAGTTACCAACTTAATTGTATAGGCAGCATGAGTGAACATTCTGTGTACAATAGGCTTATTCTCAATTGATTCTGATTTTTAAATATCAGTTGAAAGCAAGCTCAATAATCACCTTTAGGGTTTGATTAGCAGTATTATTGTACAGCAATCTTTCCACACTCTACTGCACTTATCCAATTGAGACCACCTAATAGATATCTTAAGCACATTTTAAGGTTTTAAATAATATTATTTAGTTTACCCTATATTATTGCACTCAAACTGTTATTTATTTACTTCAGAAACCTGTGACGTATGTCTTCACGTAAGCGTCAAAATATTTGAGTGCACTTGATTCTTTCTCCTAAGTTATAAATGCCTTAATTTGTGTAAAACTGAGAGATCATATTTCCCACTTAAACAAGAAAAGAGAAAAAGAAAAAGGTTACAACAATTAGTTGCTCCTTGTCTTTTCCTTCTTTTTTTTTTCGGAGCTATAGATTGCCTTAAACCTCATAGAGGTGGACTTCGATTGTCAGTGCAATCACTAAACAGCATTTAATGGCCGAGATCAGCCCAGCAAAACTTGAGCTAACCTCGACTGTTGATATGAAATTCATTTGAATTTTAAATCAATGGTCAAGATCAATTCAAGTTTGGTTGAGCCAATCTGAACCTTTAAAAGTTACAGAAGTGCAAACAATCCGGATCCCAGAGCAGTTGCCACGCCAGAAGCCCCACCACCGCACTACACGATTTTTAAAGGGTCAAATTATACTTTACCCCCGTGGTACAGGCGTATGGCTAATGTTTACATAACCTCCTCTAATTTTAAAAATTATATATAATCCCCTCCTAATTTGAATTAAAGTGTCAAAGTCAAATTTACCCTTATTTAAAAAGTTAAATGGTATAAGTGACCAAAATATATAAATATAATATGTATGACACTCTAATTTCGTATAATTTTATATTTTACCATATAACCTCTTATAGTTTAATACTTTATCATATAACACTCTTGTAATTTTCAACATATATACACATAATCCCCTGTGAGGCTGTAATCAATAAATAATTTTTAACTTTACATAATGGTATTTTTTACATTTTAGTTAACTCCATTATGAATTGCAAATTTCATCATTTTGACACTTTAATCTAAACCGTAAAAAAATTATGTATAACTTTTAAAACTATAAAGGAGTTATGTAATAAAATATTAAATCACAAGGGGTAAAGTGTAATTTGTCTTTTTAAAGACCAGATAACAAGGCTGATTCTACACTGCCCAGTGCAACCAAATTACATTTTCTAGTGATGTAAATCACATTTTGATTATCTATATTTAGAAGCAAATATAAATCAGATTTCGATTAGAGTCGTCAAATTGAAGGAAACAGCTTGACCTTGACAAAATTGTTGAAGTTTTAAACTTCTTCCAAATGGTATCGCTTTCTTTTTTTAGGGAAAAATTGACAATTTTGCTTTTATAATCTGGTTTTGGCATGTTAATGATCAGGATCAAATTGGCCCGCCCGTAATACTTTCAATTTCCTCATGATCGAAAGACTTTCTGTTCCAAGGCAGAGTAGTTGTCTGCATCATAAAGTCAGAAAATGCTAAATCCACACTTCTCATCCTAAATATACAAATTTCATTGTCAATAGTACAACATAATAGTACAAATCATCAATCCTACTAACAGTAAGAGACATCAATGCATCAAGGTATCAATCAGCCCAACTTTGCAAATGGAATTTGGTTTTGTACATTCTGATTTTCGTTTTCTTCCTTTTTTTATTCTCTTTTTAATTAAGTTTGGGTGGCATGTCCTTTTTTTTTGGGTTTTTACCCTTTTTTTTCTTTTTTAAGAGTTTACTAGTATATGTAAAACTTGACAAAGCTAAATTAAAACCAACAAAGTGCTACTCTTGATGATGCAGACAACTAATTGTTCGGTTTCAAAAACATGAATGATGAGGAAAATATCAAACCTGTAAGAGGGTGGATTTTTAGGCCAAAACCTATAGTTAATGGCAGAAGGAGGCCATATTATATGGAACAAGTGATCAACCCATCCTTTCTTGCCCTCAACTTCTTTCTGCAACCTTGTTCCGTAACCCTCAATATTCTGAGACCCTGGAATCTTAGCAACCAGTTCTTTTTCCTCTAGTGGAAGCTCAAAGAATTCCTTCCCAACTTGCTGCAGTTTCCTCACAACCTCATCTGGGATGCCATGGTTGACAACTTGGAAGATCCCCCATTCTCTGCTAGCCTCAGAAATCAACCCCACAATTTTGCCTTCATCAGGATCGCTCAGATCAATCACCGGAACCTCAAGAACCACCCCATGGAAGGTTGTTACTGCAGGTTGCTCATTTTCTGATCTGATGTAATCTGTTGGAATAGTATCCATGCATTTGGATAGCGAAGCAATTTGTTGCACTCTTTCCAGCTCCATTTCTTTTTTTTTTTTCCTCCCTCACTCTCCAACAGAAAAACTTTTGATGATTTTCTTTCTTTATGCTAGAGTCTTGCCTCTTTGCAGCATATATAAAGGGAGGCAAGACAAAAGCTGGAACCAAATTCATCAACACCAGCAATAATATGCATTGTGGATGTCATTAATTTTCTATGAAAAGATAAAAAAGGGGTTACGTGGGTGAGTCCTGTTCATTTGATAGATCATGCCAAACCTCAACAGCATGCACCGCTATAGTAGCCTACATCTTGCATCATACGAAGAATATGTTGATAGGATAGTTGGGTTAAAATTCTCTGCCTCTATAAATTACTATTGACGGCTCAGATGAAGTTGATTTGAAATCGAACAAATTATATTGGTTACGTAATACAACATTTAATTATGGGCAAAATTCTTAGTGTTTTTCTACCTTTTTTATTTTAGTGTGACTACATTTATTATTATATGCATACACTATGTTGTTCAATTGAATGCGACAGTTAGAGAACATTGGATCCAGGATGGTTGGTGGCTTGGTACCTAAACTTATTGATGCATAGCACATGACCACATGAGTTGAGTGTGCAAGTTAAATAAAATTACAATTTGTAAACATGACTTTTTATAATAACAACCTAAAGATCAATTTGAGTAAGGATTTATCGTTTTCTTTTCTATTTTCTGTTTATAAAACCTGTTAAGCATTTGAAGCCTCGTAGTTCTCGAACTCCTCCTGAACTCCATAAATTTGTGAAAAAGTTTTGAACCAATATGTTACATCCTACCGAATGTATAAGAATTGTTATCACTGTTAAAAATATTTTTAGAAAAGTGAAGAATTGATTGAATACATTCGAATTATGTGATGATACACAAATATAATCACCATTTTGTTTTGTCAGGCCGTGCATATCACCTCACAAATCTTGTATTACTCTCTATTCCACTTTTTATTATATTATTATTTTTTCTTCATAAACATCATATTTTAGTTTTTTTTTGTTTTCTTAAAATCTAATAGCTATTAATTAAGTAATACACAAATACAACAATTTCAGAAACCTCCCTTGAGGTTTATAACAATCTCATAAATTAGAGATGATTTCAGAAACTTCCCTTGAGGTTTATAACAATTTCACTTGACTCTCCTAAAGTTTCAAATATTACACCTACCACCTTTGATATGAACATGGGATTCAATGATTCAACCTTAAGTCATACAAGTGGAGGATCATCCATTGGACATCATCAAATCCAAATCCCTTCCTTAGTTTGGAGTAGTTTTCCTTAGTTGTAAGCTATATTAGGAGTATGTGTTGTTTGTGTTAATTATTTCCAGCCGTGAGTGTTTAATTATTTTCAGCAAATTATAGTTGGTTGATTAGTTAATTAAGTTGTTAGTTTGGTTGAATAAAAGGTTAGGTCATGTTGACCATAGTTGAGCCTTTAAGTCGTGTTAGTTTTCTAATTCTAGCTGAGTTAGGGTTAGTTAAGTAAGTTCCAGTCTAGTTAGGTTTTTGAGTCTTTGTAAGGCTATAAATAAGCCTTGTCTCAAACGTTATTTTGATAAGATGAATAATCAAAGAAAATTTCCAGCAAACACTTTGTGTTAGTAACATCTCTTGTCCAAGATATCCAACTTGAATACTTGAGAGGATTCTTGAGTTTTCGATCGACTAATCAATTCAAGATCACATTGAATTGTGGCGTCATTCTACCCTTCTATTCAATCTCGAGCGGTCCTTGATTGTCTAGAATCCATCCAATTTATCCATAATCTAATCAAGATACATCTTTCCGCTTGCCTGATCGATTTAGTTCTTCAAGACAGGTTTTTGCTGGGTCAAGATCGTATCATCTGGTATCAGAGTTTTGACTCTTGATTCAGGTCAATATTCTTTTCTTCTTCTTGTTTTTCCTTCTGTTTGTTTTGCCACCAAACCCTAATCCTTCTTATTCAAAAGAAAAAAAAATTGTTCATCGTTGTAGGGTTTGAATATCTTGTGATTACCTTGTGTCGCACGTTTGGTTCTTATTTTTTTCCTTGTGTCATTTGTCTCCCTTGATCAGATTCATTGTTTGAACTAAAAAAAAAAAAAAGCATCCTATAGCATCCTTACTGTTCATCGCTACTGTAGTGATACTATTCACCGTGTCGTACTGTTCATCCAAAAGTACTGCAGCAGCACTGTTCATCCGAAACAATTATTATTTTTTTTTTTTGCATAACTTGTGTTTGTTTCTTGTTTTGGTGTCTTGTTATATTGTTCTTGAAGTCTTGTGTTGGTTTAGAGTCAAAAAAAAATTTCTGGTCGTTACCTTGTTGGAGAAAATCCGTGGTTAATCATTAGGGTTTTGTTGAATCCGTGGCTAAGCTTGTTTGTTTCTTGGGAAAAAAACGTTTGAAGCTCTTGAATTCTAGACAAAATCTTGAGTTTCTTGAGTTCTTTGACTAATTTCCAGCAACAAACCTTGAAGTTCTTGGGTTCTTGAAAATCTTGAAACCAACCTTCCAAATCTTGAACCCTAGTTCATCTCTTGGGAAATCAACTTGCGGTTGTTGTGTTTGATTGAGCGAGCTTGAAAAAACAAAAACAAAGAGAATCTGATCCGTGAAGAAAGAAGAAAAAAAAAGGATCAAGATCTCAAGAATTAGCTTGCAAGTGGAATTCGAAGTTGACTTGGTTTGTTACTTACCAAAATCTGGTAGCATCACCTTGTCCAACTTGGACTTGATTAAGCCATTTAAGGAAGTCTTGAAACCACTTCTTGTTTTCATAAAAACGAATTCAAGTTCCCTAAAACAAGTTTCCAAATCTTGTCACTAAACCAGTTTCCAAATTCCAGCCACGAGAAATCGGGTAGAAGGTTTTCTAGGTTTCCAAAAAAATTCTGCTAAGTCATTTATTGTTCTAGATTTCCTTTGTAATCTGTCCAGCCACAATTTGTTGTGTTTTGAGTCATATTTTTCAGTTTATATTCAAGTTTCAATGGTCCAAAATAGTCCAAATCAGTTTTGGTCCATAAAGAGTTAATAGTTTCCTAATTTAAGTCATAGGTTTCCTAATTCAAGCGCTCATTGTCTTGTGTCTTTTTTTTGGCTGAATTAAGCACCAAGTTTTTGGTGTAGATTTCCAGTTATATTTCAGGCAAACATCTTTTGTGTGTTAAATCTGGTCCAAAATTGCACCAAATCAGCATCAAATCTATTCGGTTCTCATCCAAGTTCCTCAGTGTTTTGTCGAGTCACATCAGATTCATTCTTCCGTTAGTAAATCTGTAAATTTCCAACCTATTTTCAGCACTTTTGACTCATCCAGATCTCTTCTTTTTGTATTCAAATCTCAACTCAAGATAACAATTTCATCTATGGCACTTCCTTGTGCGTTGTTGGATAAGTCATTGAATTACTTGAGAAATTTCTGATTTCTTCAAGTAAGGAGATCAACGACCAAGAGATTTGCTTGGTAGGCTTATTAGAGTGACTTAAATACTTGAGTGATACATGAGTGCGAGTGCATACACGTGAGGGTGTACTGTTAGGAAACTTTCCTTTGTTTTTACTAACCATTTTGCAGGTCAAAGATGAATATCAAAGGAAGTTCACACCACTTTGATCCTACACATATGTTGGAATCCATATTGGGGGAAGTTGAAAGGAAGTTAAACAAATCAGTCCAACTCATGCATAAGAGGTTTGATAGAATTGAGAATGAATCTCTCAAGGGGAGGGGTTCCACACAATCAAGTCATGATAAAGTGTCAAACCATGAGTTTCATACCCTCAAGGAGGAGATGGATCATTACAATGCTTTGTGTGCATATGAACGATATAAGTGTACTTGTGATGAGTATGAGGGGGGCAAAGGAGTTTACGTTGAACATCTAAAAAGAGCACATCCTCCACCAAATCAGCTTGTTCGTTTGAGAGGTCTCATGACCATAACCGAGCTGTGGAAATTAGAAGTTCTCGCAATAGGTCAACATATGGTGAACCAAAGGAGGAAAGACCACTCAAAAGAGAAAAAGAATCTATTACGACAATTTCTTCAAAGTCTAAGGCTGCTATGGAGCCATCTAAGCAGGAGTCATGGTGGGATATTTACCAACGTCTTCTTCAAGAAAAACAAAGGAAAAATCCAGTTGAAAGGGGGAAGATTGAGGAAATTGTAATTGAAGCTGAAATGTGGGAAGATGAAGTTGTTAGCGAGAAGTGTGGGGTAACACTTGAGAGTGCATACGAGGTAAAAGTTGAGAAAAGTGAGCTGGAAACAGAGGTAAAAAATTCTGATGAGATGAGTGAAGCATCAAGTGAGCTGATTGTGAGTGGCAATGTGAGTGGTTATAGTTTTTCTAACAATCTTAACTGTGCCTTGTTTAGTGTTTTTTCTTTTGTACAGATTAAGCGAAGTCAAGTAAAGTTAGTCATGCAATGTGCCATTCCAAAGTCACTTGTACAATTCACTAGCTTCCATGGAGTTTGTCTTCTAGGAGATAAATCTATTTGGCATCACTTTATGGAACAATTTCAATTCAAATCTATCCGCACCAATGGAGAATTAATTCAAACTCACCATGAAGGGAGAATTCCAGATTTTGATTCTCATTTGCTATCTATGGTTCATTCATCATCTTTACCTTTTTTTGAGTATAATTTCCATCTTAACACTTGTATTTCTTATGCAGATTTTGAAGAGCTAGCAATGCATTCTCAAGTTGAATCAATTGGTGGAAGGCATAATGAAGTGTCAAAGGGAGTTTTTGCATTTAACCCTTGTTCTACACCTTCTTACCAATAAGCTATTGATATTCCATTGCTTTTTTATCCAATTTCTGGTTCATTACAAGCTAAAACTTATTTTGTTTTTGTAGGTTGTATTTTAAAGCTGTCCAAAAATTTTCAGCTTTGATTAAAGAGTTTCAACCTGATTTCATGCTTATTTCAGTTAAAAGTGATGATATTTCATGCGTCTTCACACGACCAAAAGCTGGCTGCCCAGTGCTCAATTTGTTAACTTCAACTTGTGCTAGTTCGAGTAACCCTCA